AAAAGTGAAAATTGAACATCAAAAGCCTTCAGGATTACTTCAATCACTAGACATACCAGAGTGGAAGTGGGAAAGTGTAGCCACTAATTTTGTGATGGGTTTTCCAAGAACCCAAAAGGGGTATGATACAATTTGGGTAATCATTGACCTATTAACCAAATCTGCTCATTTCCTACCAATTAAGGCTCAATATTCTATTGAGAGATTAGCCCAATTATATATAAATGAATTTGTCAAACTTCATGGGGTACCTATAAGTATTGTGTCAGATAGAGACCCTAGATTTACTTCTAGATTCTGGGGATATTTACAGCAAGTCTTTGGAACTAAGTTGAGACTTAGTACATCATATCATCCCCAGACTGATGGTCAAACTGAGAGAACCATTCATATGTTAGAGGATATGCTGAGAGCTTGCATCCTTGAACAAGGAGGTAGTTGGGTTAGATATCTGTCATTAATAGAGTTTGCTTATAATAATAGTTACCACTCTAGTATTGGAATGGCTCCATATGAAGCACTCTATGGAAGAAAATATAGATCTCCAGTGTGTTGGTATGAAAAAGGGGAAAAACAGTTATTGGGACCGAAATTAGTCCAAGAAACCTCGAGACAAATTCAGATGATAAAGGAAAACCTTGAAAAGGCACAAAGCAGACAGAAAAATTATGCTGATAACAGGCGAAAACCTTTGTCTTTTGAAGAAGGAGAATATGTCTTTCTTAAACTTTCTCCTACCACAGGTGTAGGCAGAACCCTCAAAGTTAGAAAATTGAGTCCTAGATATATCAGTCTGTTTCAAATACTCCGAAAAATAGGGCTAGTTGCTTACCAACTTGACCTTTCGCCTCATCTTTCCAATCTCCACAGTGTTTTTCATGTTTCTCAACTTAGAAAGTATGTTCCAGATCCTTCTCACATTCTCGATATAGACTCAGTACAAGTTAAAGAGAATCTGACTATTAGTACCAGGCCAGCTCAAATCCTTGACAAAAATCTAAAGCAACTGAGAAATAGGATGATTCCGTTAATAAAAGTACGTTGGGAATGACTTTCAGCACACGAAGCCACAAGGGAAAAAGAAGAAGAGTTACGACAGAGTTATCAAGAATTTTTTTTTTAGAAGGTATGTCCAAATTTTGAGGGCAAAATTTTATTTAGGAGAAGGGAAATATAATAACCGAATAAAAATAAAATAAAAATAATAGTAATAATAATCAAAGTAATAATATATAAAATAATAATATTGATAATAATGATAATAATAGATGTAATATTCTGAAATAATAATTGTATTAAAAAAAATGATAAAGTAATAAATAAATAAATATATATATTTATATGTATAAAATAAAATAATAATAATCATAACATAACATATATATATATATATTAAAGTATTAAATAATTAAAATAATATAATAGTAGAAATAAATAAAATAAAATAATAATATATAAAGTGGCTCTGTTAATAGGTTACGTAATAAATATATATATATATATATATATATATATATATATATGTATAAGTAGAAAAATAAATAACAATAAAAAATTGAAGCTTATAAAAAATGTGGATCCTTCTAGATATATAGCAACATGTGATAAAAGGAATCAGAATGTTAAGACTTTTGATAGATGCAATTATTACATTCTTAAAGATTAGTTAGATTTAAACAAAACTTTAATTAGTTTAGTTAGAAATCAATTAGAGGTAATCATTAAAATAGTCAAAATAGTAAAAAACAATGGCCTATATATATATGTGTCCATATGAATCAGAAGGAAAAAAGAAGAAGGAACGCAAACGTAAAAAAAAAAAAAAAACAATCCGAAGGAAAAGAACAGCGAGAAGGAGAAGGAAAGGGAGAGGAGGAGAGATAGGAAGGTAATATTGAGAGATAAAAACTTTCTCTCATTGTTTTTCTTTTCACTATTTCTTTTAAAGATTTTGTTAGTATCGTTACTTTGCCAATTTCTTTTCTTAAAATTCTTTTCTACTTGTTGTTATTCCTATCTTTAGTTTAATTATTTCATTCTAAAATTCTTATTGTTGTTTTTATGTTAATTTTAATTTTAAACTAGTTGATTATTTGGTACCAAATAAATGTGTAAATTTTATGTATGTTACTGCTGTGAACTGACCCACAAAAGTTTGGCATCAGATAGTTAGGGTAAGGGACGCCTTATCATGGCTTGAGCTCCGCCACACAGAACTTTTCACATCCAGAGACCCACAAAGTTTGGTATTTAATTAGCTTCAGTTAAATATTACACAATTTATTATTTATCTTTATTCCTGCAATAATTTTATGAAATTACTTGAGAGAATGATATATTTTCCGTTAATACGGCTGGAATGGTTATAGTTATAAAACCTCAATATTACTGAGAATTTTCTCACGTTTTATTTGCTTTGCTAATCTTTTCAGATGCCTAACTTGTCTTTTTGTGGAGAATGATGAAATATTACTGTTAATTTTTATAGTGACCGTTGGGAATACTATATTGTGATGGGGAATCAAGGAGCTGTAGCTGTATTTTATCCTGACAGGGTGGAGACTTATGCGTATACTTTGGACTAAACAAGGATCTTGTAATAGTGTGTGACTGAAGAATGTTATATATATATATATATATATATATATATATATATATATAGTAAAGTAATGTAATCTGACGTAGGATGTATGACTTATGTAAAATAATTATGTAAGTTAGGAAGTAGACTAAATATATATATATATATATATATATATATATATATATATATGAAGTTTGTACAAGTTTATGTACGAATCCACGTCCATGTTTATAAAATGAAGGATGTTACAATGGATAAATAAATTATTATTATTATATTTGCTATAAATAAATAAATTAGTATTATTAATAAATAAGTAAAGAAATAAATTTTATTTATGTTACATGTGTGACTACATAAAATTATATGGCAACATTAGATGTAGTATATGATAAGTCTTTTTTTTTTGGTAAGCAGTATATGATAAGTCTTATGATGAATACTATTAACTTATAAAAATTAAATAACATATGGTAAATATAATAATTAAATCTTAACATGTAAATATAAGAATATATTTTAATAAAATATTTAACTGAATGATAGATAAATTATAATAGACATGTACTGTTTTATTTATTAACAACTATTAATAAAACCACATGTGCTTAAAATCATAAGGGAAATAAAATATATCAGTAAATATATATATATATATATATATTTAATTATTTTCTTAAAATTTATAATCACATTAAATTAATTCTAATTAAATATTTACTAAATATCCTAAATTATTAATTAAAAATAATAACAATACTATAACTATTTCATAAGAATTAAATATATATCATTAAAATGAATTAATATATAAAATAATATAATAAAATATATATAAATATATGGCAAGGAGGGGGCCACGTGGAACACCCCTCCAAAGCCACATCTTAACAAATATGATGTAAAATAGGTGAAGTAATTAGAATGATGTAAAAAAAAAACATAAAAGGAAAAAGGGTGAGTCAGCACATCTAGCATCTATATATATGATAACAACACCTCAATTGTCATTTGGCACAAGCACTGTTAAAATTTTTTACGCCGATGAACGGTGAAGAAAGACGAAGAGATAAATAAAAAGGTAATATTGAGAGAGTAAAATCTTCTCTCTATTTTCTTCTTTTCAATTATTTATATATATATATATATATATATATATATATATATATATATATATATATAGAAAATTGTATGTTGTTGTTATGCCAAAATATTTTCTTAATTTCTTCTCTTCTTTAATAATGTTTTTATCTATAGTTTTACCTTAATCCTTCTTTTAATTTTGTTATACTTGTCATGTTAACGTGATTCTTTCAAATTTTGAATTTTTTTTTATACAAATTGAATATTAAATGAATGTATAAATTTTACCTTAATGATACTGTTGTGAAGTAACCCACAAAAGTTTGGGATCAGAAGATTTGAGGGTAAGGGACGTCTTATCATGGCTTGAGCTCCGTCATATCATAACTTTTCACATGCAGGAAATCCACAAAATTGGGAATTAAATTAGCTTCAGTTAAATATTACGAGATTGCATATTAATATTTGTGATATTATTCCAATTTATGAAATTTACTTGAGAGATTAATATTTTCCGTTATCACGGCTGGAAATGGTTATAGTTTAAAAATCTCAATATTACTGAGAATTATCTCACATTATTTTATTTTGTGCTAACCTTTCTAGAAAACCACCATGCCTAACTTATCTTTTCTGGAGAAAGATGGACTGTGAATGTTTATTTTTATGATGATTGTTGAGAAATTTACATAATAGTTGGAAACCAAGGAGCAGAAGCCATATTCCATGCAGACAGTGTGGAGTCCTACACTTATAGGCTAGACTAGAATGAGAAGTATGTAATGAATAAATAGTATAACCTGATATAATTAGGAGTGTAATATATGTGTGAAATCGATGTAAAATATTTAGAATGTAAGATATTTGAACTAACTTACATCCATGTATAATTAATGAAGGATGTTAGTATTCCCAGTTAATCTTTCTAGATTTATTTTCTTAATATTCTTATTTATTTATTTATTATTATTATTAAATATATTAGTTACAAACAATATGATATTCTCTATACTGGGATAAGCAGAGGTTGTTACAACACGTACTTACAAATCAGATCAATGACTCTCAAAAAGATGTTAAACTTTTTGTTTGACTCAAATAATTCTGTCCCTTGTTTATTATTATTATTATTAACTTCAGTTGATAGAAAAAGATAAAGAAATTTACTGTTATTATATGCATTTTATTTTTTTCCTTGTTATATTATTATCAGTACGTAAGCAGTGATAATTGCCAAATTTTAATGTTTTTATTCGTAGATCCGATCAAAAAATAAAAGTATTTAAAACCGCAAGTTCTTAAACTTTAATAACACCAGTGCTCGACAGACAGAAACTTACAGAACTTCAACAAATTAAGAGAAAAACAGCATGAACAGAACATAGTAGAATTTTTTTTATGGTTTAGGTACAACCTTTATTTTTACAATTTTATATTTACTCAAGAAGCACAGAACAGAGGGATGATATTGCACCGGACCTCCATCTGGTAAATATACGAATACATTTCCATGTTATCAGAGGTATTCCACTACAAACATCAAATTCTTGATTGGTGTGAGACAGACGTTTCAACCACTGTCCACTATACAAGATTGAGGGTTCCACTTTGAAGACGAACGAAGCATCATCACTTATCACTATCTTATCAATAGCAGTTGTAATAAGTACGTGAACTATGTTATTCAGTCATGGGAATAGCTCTTCTAAATGACTATCCATGATCACTGAAACAAGATCAAGAAATGCAGCTTCACTTGTTCCAGGAAGTGCAGCTTCCTCCGCTTCCTGAATTATCTGCTCAATGACAGATTTTTTCTTCAGTGTCTCTCTACACATGATGCTTCCAATGGTGAAAGGAGTGAGCCCTCTCTCTGCACCTTTCTGAAGAAGCATGGTTGATATACGAAGGATCCGGGCACATTTAGGAGGAAGGTCCCATCCATGAAACTTCAAAAGCTTAATATCTTCCTCAGCATTCAGAGATTTTATATAGTCAATGGTGTCTGGGGAGTAAGGCTCCCGAGCTTGTGGCCAGTATAACCAGTCAAAAGTGCAGTCTTCAAACTGCAAAAGGAGAAAAAAAGAAAGAAAGAGAGATGAACTATACAAAAGTAGAGGTAAGTCAAACTTATAATCAATATAAAAAATATTAATTGTAATAGGCATTGCTGAAAATGATTGTAATGTTTTAGCTGTAAAAGGTATTAGAGAAGATCAACAGGGATAAGTGAGCAATAATAAAAGAGTCATATAAGATAAGTAACCAATAGCAAAATTAAAATCAGAAGATATACGGAAGTACGGTGAATCAAAAGAAGAGTCAAAACTCTACTTTTTGTGCAGTGTAAATCCTAGGGTAATCTGAGGAAAAATATTAACATCTGACAGTGACATAAATCTTGTAAGCAAATAGCACTGAGAATAGTGGCAGATACAAAGCAGATAATTGTACTCGTAATGTTACAGCCTTTTTGTAGTTATTCTGAAATAGACAAGCATGAGAAGTAGATTTAACAAAGACACAACACAGTAGCCCATAACTTCATGAGCTCAAATTTCCTTACAATTGGAAAACAGAACCAATACATTTATAGTGTTAAAAGACTTACGCTCTCTGGCAAGCAATAACCATGATCAATTGGAATAAGGACAGCTGGATCATCTTCACAATCCTTGGCAACCAAAATGTTCCCAGCATGCCTATCTGCATTTACCAACCTGATATCCAGAACAGAGATCTTGTGTACCTCTTCCACTGGAAATGCACTAGGGCCCATGTCTTCACAACTTCCAATATTCCTCATAAACATTTGAAGTGATCCTATTTTAACATTACCTGAAACATTCTTATAACCTTCAGGATGATGGAATCCTTTATGCAAGCATTTGACCATGACTGTGGGAGGAACTCCAGCAAACCCCTGTTCCCCATTGCTGGGATACGAGCGAGGTCCTTTCCTAGGATGATCCAAAATGTAAGCTGCAACTTCTCTCAATGCACCTTGCCCAACTCGTGTGCCTTTCTTTAACCCTTCACCATCCAGAGATACAGGTAGTCCACGAGGATTATTAATTGCCATTGGCTCCTCATCAATAGGCTTGAAAACAGAAACATACTTCAAGCCAGATGAATCTTGCATAAGATAAGCTCCTCCTGATCCCTCTGAAGATTGAATTGGATTTCTTCCTTTTTCTAACCCTTCCAAAGTAATCTTAATTAGCTTCTGGATCAATAGTGGAATTTTGATATTGGAATTCATAATAAGTGGTTCCAAAAGAAAGTCTCTTGTCAATTGGTTCCTCTTAAGGACCTTATTTGTTACAGACTCGGACCCTAACTGGTATGCCACTAAATTTGGCTTTGTATTGTGTGCATATGATGCCTCAATTGATAATTCGAAATCCTTCTCAACTGGTTTAGTCCTTACCTTGGCATCTGATATCCTGACCAAAAAATGAATTACAGCATCATTGTCATTGTCCTTGCAGATATCCTCAATAAGTCTCTGGTCCTCAAGTGCTTCACCCTTACATATCAATTCTTGCTCCTTGAGATCAAAGAACCCTTGCCCTTTCCTTGCAATCTGCTGCTTCACATAACCCACATTCCTATTCTTCTCAACATAAAACCCAAACTCCTTTCCACATATTGTCCTAACTGTAATAGCTTGAAGATCAGAAAGCCTTAGCACCAGGTGCACCACATTCCCATCAGCAACACCATAATCACAGATACAAGATTTATCACGAGCCAATTCCTTCCCTTCAAAAACCAGTTTCTGTTTCTTTACAAAAAATCCTTTGAAGGTTTGAATTCTCAGCTTCACTGAAGCAATTGAATCTGTCTCCATAATGTGCATGGGAATCACAGAGCCACCAACAGTTAGGTAGATCAAAATCGAGTCCCTCGAACGAGGACTAAAACGGCTGGTAAATTCACTATGGGTGTTTAAAGATTCTTCGTACACTGGACGAAGTGCCACACAAGCCATTATCAACTTGCAGGTTCAAAATCTTGCTAGCTCATCAAAAAACAAAGAAAAAAGCTAGAAACCTTACAACCAATAGTAAAATTCAAATGGTCATCAGAGACGTAACAGGGAATCACAAAATGGGCAACCTCAACTTTTATTAGTTTTCTTCCTCATCTATATTTGGATTGGCTTTCACTGTTGCTGTAAAAGCAGCTCATGCCTGAACCTAAGCAGTAAGCAAAAAATAGAAGCCTAAAATATGCATCGTAGTTTCTTTCTTTCCAGAAATAAGGGCTCCGAACCAAATCAAGACTTTTGGAAAACGCAACTTCGGAGAAATGAAGATCAGCCGATCAGATATCTCCTTGAATTAATATAATAATATTGTTTTTTCATTGCTGCAATGTATAATCTATGTTATGGAAACTTTTTTGGAAGCTGAAGAAGGAAGAAGGGAAGCCCCGCAAAACGGAGGCCAATTATCCTACAAAAAGGAAGAAAATCTTTAGTCAGAGAAGATGAAACTCAATGAAAGAGAAAGACAAAAAAAAAACTCTTCAACCACTTATAAATATCATAATCAGTAAAACGGAAAATGTCTCGCTTAATTTCACATTAAGATGAAATACTCAATCAGATTAGGTAATGGATTGTGCGTCACATGAGAGTAATTTTCTTCTTTGAGATAAACACAGCAAACGAGTAAAGCTAAAAGAGCTAAACACAGAAATTTCAAGTTTCCATCGTTATTCGTAGAATAAACAAAAAATGAAATGAAATTCTGACAAAGAAATATAAACAAAAAGGAATTTAATTCCTGATGACATGTAAACGAAATAATAATTTCAATCAAAGCAGAGAGAAAAGAGAAATTTACCACGAATTTCATTCCCATCGAAACAAAATACGCTAACAAATGAAGAAGAAGAAAAAAAAAAGCTTACAGAGAGTGAAGCAAAACCGAAGAAGATACTCAGGTAGGATGACGGTGATAGTGGAAACTGGAGAAATTAAGCGCCATTCTGCGAATCAATCTTCCCAGAATCGAACAATTTCTCAGGTTCCCAATTTTCCGTGTTAAAGACTTGACTCACTGAGTCAGTGTCCTAAAATAGAGACAGAGACAGAACTGAGGAGACAGTGTGAGAATTACATTTTTGAAATGATACTGACAAGGAAGGAACTATTTATAGCTGTGGTGTGGACTGCATGACTTCTCACCTTAGAAATTTAAGCGAGATTTATTAAATTTAACAAAGTTTGATTAGTTTACTAATTCACTTGTCTCTATAGAAGATTCGTGATACCGTGCTTTTTACTTTATTTTCATTACTCAGTATAAAGGTTAATATGGTAAATTAAGAGGGTTAATTTAATGTGAGTAATTGAGTATAAGTATGGTAGGAGAGTGACGAGCGTTGAGAATAACGTAAATGTGATAAAATTCATTTTAAATTAATTTGATTTTGATTAAGTGTTCATAGTAAATTAATGCATGTTTGATTAACATTATTTAAAAGGAAATTTTGGCAAAATTAATATTAATAAACAGTATTAAGTAAAATTATTTTTTGATCTCTAATTACACAAAAAATATAAACTACCTATTATGTAAATATAAATTAACCTTCAATTTTATTTTATTATTTTTAAAGTATGCATTAATATATGAAACAAATGTCACAATAATAAGTTTCATTTTTAGTGAAATTATTTACTTGAAAATAGAACTTTTGCAATGAAAAGCAGTCCTTCTCCTATTAAGAAGCTAAAGCTTGTTTACCACAAAAAAAAAATGAAGCTAAAGCTTTTGGTGAAAAATATGTGACAAAACTTTCAATAATATGAAATAATCTTGCATAGTTATTATAGTTGATTTCAATTACAAAACTTTCTAACATTATATTTGTTAAAACGATGGCTACTTATTCACAGTTTTGCTTAAGGGAAAGGATATTGTGACAACTAAGTTGTGTTACTATCTAAGTGACTACCAATCAATCTCACCGTTAGATCGATTATGTTGATCCAACGGTTATATTTATTTTCATATTTGTATGGTCATGATTTCCTATATTTAAAATGAAAGCATTAAATATGGGAAATCATAACCATACAAAGGTGAAAATAAATATAAAGTATTAAATTTGGGAAATCATGACCATACAAAGATGAAAATAAATATAACCGTTGGATCAATATAATCGATCTAACGGTAAGATTGATTAGTAGTCACTTGGTAGTAACACAATTTAATTGTCACAATATTCTTCCCCTTTGCTTAAATCCTAACCTGGAGCTAAAAATACGGTGAAAACATTTGAACAAAAATTTCACCAAACATAAATTACGAATACAAAACCATAATGTAAATACACTCTTGAAAGCAAAAAGGCATAATCAAACGCATTTGTTCATATTCCCCTATTTTTATTTTTATTTTTCTGATTTGATTGTAGATTTGTGGGTGTTCTACAACCTCATCACATTGCCAAGATGGACTTCTCAACATGCTATTGGGCCAGCAACCGCCACACGTACATCACGTATCAAGTTTCTTCTTAAAATTTTCAGTAATTAATATTTTAGCATTTTTTTAAGGGGATGATGTTTCTCATATTATAAGAAATAATTTTTATCTACTACACATATAAAAATATGTAAGGCCCATATTTTTCTTCTCTCTCTTCTCCTCATATGTGGGCCCCACACATTTTTATGTATATAAGAAATAAAATTATCTCCTACAACATCATTTCATTTTTTTAATTGGTGCATATCCTTTTAAAGTTTTGATTAATAGGTGCATTGTCTCCCCATTTAAGTGCCATAGTGTTCCGAGCTTGTAAAGCTATACGCAACAAAGAGAATGCTTGTTTACATAAACTTGTGTCAAGAAAGCTTCATTGGAAATCTCAGTTAGCATTGAAGGATTAAATCATAAGTGGAAATTCTTGGATCACTAATTACTTGCTTGACCTTGGATCGCTAAGTCTTATATAATCCATGCATTTCTATTCCATGGCAATGTTGTATCCCTATTAATACTTGTCTCCAATTAGGGGGATTGAATCACTCAAAAGGCTAAAACAGAGCTTAATCTTTAATAAAATATAGCTTGTTTATTTAATGTTCAATCATTAAGCTGCATTACAAAGCTTTAGAGTCTCAACATGGTGAATTCGTAATAGTAAATGATGGTCGCATTGCCTTCATTTGATTTGACAGAACAAAATCTCACATATATAATACACAAATTCTATAAAGCTCAAACTTTTATTATACACAGGATTCAAAGAAGGATCTTTAATAGTACAGTTTTACTTTGCATTCACAAAAACTGATTAGATAAATCAAACCTATGAACTCTAGAATTACATGACAACAACACTTACCAAGATTACGTTCTACATATATAATACACTAGATAGGGGGATAATGCAAGTGATTTCTTAAAACTAATCTAACAGTTCCTTGTGAAAGCTAAAACAAAGCCTCAAAACTAAAACGATCCCTTGTCAATGAAACATAATGTTTTGAAATTAAATCTATCCCTCTTCTAAAGTTTTACTTCGTAACACTTACACCAAGAACTTTCTAATTTCACTGTGAGTTAAGGTAAGGAAGAGCAACATATTCCGGGATTTAGATTAAACTAGTCTTCTGATAATTCCTCCGGATTTAAGATGAGATCTTGAATTTTAAACTCATTTGACAGCAAGAAGTGTTTCTTTTTCCTGTGTAATAGAATGGTCCAAGAAGTGTTACCAAAAAAAAAAAAAAGAATGGTCCAAGAATCAAAGTAGCTAAACCAGTTATGAGGGCAAGAAGAAATAAAACCAATTGTTGGCTAAAAGAACTTTCAAAACTAATCTGCACATTCAATTGAACACGAGTGAAAGATTGCAAGAAAAAAGTTACAATGTTACAGATTCCTGGCTATGAAGTCCCATATCCTCTCTTCCATATAAACTCGATCTCTATGGCGGCGCGGCATGTGACGCTCATCTGGGAAAATCATTAGCTCATAAGGTTTTCCAGCTGCCACAAGTGCATTGATAAGCCTTGCAGTGTGCCTAAAATGTACATTCTCATCAATCATACCATGCACAAGCAACAACCGTCCTTTCAACTGGTGCACTTGGTTCATAACAGAACCGCTTTCATACCCTAATTGATTTTCAGATGGCAACCCCATGTACTTCTCTGTGTAAAATGTGTCATATCCATCCCATGATGTAACAGGTGCACCAGCTACAGCACACTTGAAGAAATCTGGGTATCTTGATAAGGTCATTGCAGAGAGATAACCGCCATAGCTCCACCCATACAACCCGATGTGACCAGCTTTTGCAAGCCCTTGTTTGATAAGCCATTCTGCTCCAGTTAGCTGATCATCAGCATCAATTTGACCAAGTCTGTGCTTTAAACAACTTTCAAACTTCAACCCCCGTCTAGCAGTTCCTCTATTGTCTAACTGTAAACAAGGAAAGTAATGATTGACTTGGAAGGATGAACTGACCATATACTAGAAAACTATATTTTCCCAATGCTACAAGTCATAAAAATATGTCACATTTTCCATGTATAAAAAGATGGATTGCCCATCTCAATCATATTACTATCAATCTCTTCAGGCAAACAATTTAGTACTTGGTAATTTAACCATGTTTAATAAGACGGCGAGCCTGGAGCAATGATAAATCTGCTCCTTTATAATTGAAAGGTCACATGTTCAAATCCGGGAAACAGTCTTTTTGTAAATATGCAAGGGTAAATGTTGGGTACAAGGATTGCCCTAACCCCACTCTCACTAGATGGGGTTTAATGGGGAGTGGTTTTAATTTAACCATGTCTAAGCACATCAAGGTCCATAGATTAGACAAATTCAACATGGTGTAACTATGTCCACCCTGTATGAGTTTTTTCATCATGCGGCCGAGTAATAAAAGTCAATATACATAATTGTAAAAGTAAACAAAAAAAGTGGACCATTATCATGTTAAATTTAGGGAACTAACCTTCCAAACTAAGATGCCTTGGTTTCTCAAGTACTGTGCTCTCAGGTCAACTGTATTAAGCCAAGAGTCACAAACAAGCTGTACACTTGGACCACCATAAACATTGATCATGGTTTTGTAAGGTGGAGGTCCGAATCTTGAAGCATCAGGCTTATATAGAGCTCCATACAATGTAGTGCCATCGTCAGCCTGTATTTCAACAATCTCTGGTGGCTCAAGTTGAAGCTTTTTGAGTCTTGGAATTGTAAATGACTGTTCATATAAAGGCATGATTATGTTTCCATCGTCTAATGAGCAAAGTAACACCCTAGGAGGACAATCAAGGGAATCATGGATATCAACAAAGTTTCGCATATGATGATCAAGGACCACAATGTGCTTCCCCTTGCCATGTGTAAGTCTGACAGGGGCCTGAAGTGGTTGACTTCCATCAACAAAAAGTTTAGCACAATATAAGTTGGTCTCTAGAGGACCATCTAAGGTCCCAGTAAAATATACTAGACCTGTTGCCTCATTCACACCAGCTATTTGCTCAACCATCCATTCACCTTCAGTGATGGGTCCCAAACAAGTCCCATTTGCATTATGAAGATAAAGATGTCTAAATCCTGTTTTCTCACTAGCCCAGATAAATCCACCCGAAAACTTGGTAACTCCTTTATCAAGAGGTGTGAAACAGTCATGTATATTGATCCAAGTGCTGTTTTCTTCCACCAATAAATTTTTCCTTTGTCCTGTTCTAATATCAAACTTGAGGATATTTATTTTAGTGTGGTGCCTGTTCAAGATCTGAGCAGTGAGAATGTTTCCATGCACCCAACTGACTCTAGCCAAATATTCCTCCTCATAGTTTTGCTGTTCCATGCCCCCACAGAGAAGGTCCATCCAAGTGATGGAACCTCCAGCTACCGAAACAACCCCAAGGCGCACTTTAACATTTGAAGCTCCTGCAAAAGGATAAGGATGGTCTTCCTGTGCCTCTAAACCAACTGAGCTCTTACCTTGGTGCATAATTCTAAAAAGTGGTATTTCAGAAGAATCAACTTCAGTGAAAGCAATATATTTACTGTCCAGTGACCACCAATATCCAGTTTTTCTATCCATCTCC